AGTCCATATAGCTTAGAGTAGGACAACATGTATGAAAAGGATGATGTGGTGGAAATACTCATTTGCCTAATAATTCTGCACACAGTGTACTATGTTAATAACTTTGTATAGTTCATTAGACGGTGGGTAAAAAATACACTCCATTGTTTCAAACCGCAATAAAGATCTTAAAAGAACGATTTGAGTATTTTATTTTTTACACTAGACCTTGGAATTATGGGTAATCCAGAGCGTAGATAAGCATCTCCCTGAAATGAGTTATGGACCTTGGGATGTCTGTAACACGGTGGTGCGCTGTCACCAGTGAATTGTGATGTGTGATCATATACTGCTGAGATTCGCATAATTGTTTCTTCTTGGTCTTCTGCGGCCGTATCCTGAATCTTTGTCACGTGTTGTACTTCATATGGGGCCCAGATAATGTTTCTTATTGTGTCGTTACTCTGTTGCTTCAGTTGGATTTTTTTAGTGGTCCTCAGTGAAAAGCTGAGCTGTAATGGTTTTAACTACTGGTCTCACTGGTCGTTTGAGTCCAAATATCTGTGCTGGCCTTCTCTAAACCTCCAGCTTCCCCTCACCTTCTGCCAGGCTGCTATCAACCGCAGTCCAACCTTTGATCTGCTGGTTCAGCGGCTATCAGCAGGCAGGACAGACTACTGTGGGGGGGTGCTGAGGCCTGGCCAGTCTCCACGCCGCTGCAGCCCACTGACAGGTGCTAAAGCTGGGGCGAGAGGTTGCACGGGCCTCTGTGCTCCCCTCTGTGATAACACTGACCAACCTCGCCGTCACACATGGCGGCTCGGCTCGCTGATAACCGCACTTCAGAGGAAGCCTGTCTGTGTGTATTGGATTGATCTTCCTAAGGATTCCTCTTCAGCGCCAGCAGGCCTTCCTTCAAAGCCTTCAGGGTCTCTGGGTGTGTGAGTCACACAGAAACCAGCCCCCCCCCCCAGCATTGATAAGTCTGTAGCTTTGGAAACGCTGCTTTATTTAATGAGCCACTGCTGATGGAGAACATGGAGCTGAAACTCAGACAGTAGCACACACCAACACCCCTGATCAGGACAGATTATGGTCTTTCCAGGAAAAGAGGATCTGCTGGTCCTGCTCTCCACTTTCATCTCTGCCATCTTACTGATGCTCTAAAGTCTGCTGGACTCACAGTTCCTCTATTCTCTGCAGAGGAAAGAGAAGCTTTTCCTCCCTCTGGATACGCTAACCTGATCATCTAAGAAGGTTCTGTCCTTTCAGAGACGCAGATTAGATTCATCAGAAGATCAGAGAACATAATAAGCTCAGTGCTTATAATGGACCCAGGATCAGGATCAGGATCCTGGGTCCAGGATCCAGGATCAGCATGAACTTCATGGTTTTTCTGAAGCCAGTTAAAGTAGCTTCATTCAGATTCTAGAGGTGTCTGATTATTCTTATTCTGGAGTCGATCCAATGCCAGCATGGGGCCAGTATCCCCAGTACCTACACTGGTTTTAAATATCATAAATTCTTCTACATTTAAAATGTTTTTTTTTTTTCTCTGATTATTTTGTAATAATCTACGGCAGAGTTTGATAACATGGTTATATACGATAAAAAGTAACATCTGCTGAAAAAACATCCAGAAACATTTTTCTTTCAGAGCAAATCAAAACATGTGTTGAAAAGCCAAAAAATAAATTTTAAAATTCTCGATTTTTCTAAAATAAAAAATATTTGAAACCATAGATGTTTGAAGCAATGAAAGAATAATCCTGAGAAGTTTGCATGTAATCAGTAACTGGAGCGATCCGCCTCCTCTGCTGGTCTAACGGCGCCGTTTATCCAGCGTTCTTCTCCATGTTGAATCTCTACGATGTTCATCCGGGGCTGAAATGAAGCCGTTTAATCAGAGATCAAATGATGCAGGTTGGTGAAGTTTAAGGATAACCAGCTGTGTTGGTCAGCAGGTTAGCGTTTCAGCCTTCCCTCAGGGAGCAGTGGGCGGGGTCTGGAGTGGCGGCCGATAGGGCATAGAGCTTAAATTTCAGAGGTTCTGAGTTCAAGTCCCACTCCCACAGACTGCCTCTCTGGGTCCCTGAGCAAGACCCTTAACGCCCACTGCTCCCCGGGTGCCTCACAATGGCAGCCCACTGCCCCCCCTCAGTTCATTTTGAATCTGATACCCAATAAGCTGCTAGTTATTTATTTAGAGCGTCGGTTTAAAGACGTTTGATCCTTCTGCAATGGAAGCTAACAGCTGTAGCATTCCAGCTAATGTGTTAAAGTGAGCTAAGAACCCAGCAGCTTTGGAAAGTTTCCCGCCCTCGCTGCTGTCAGCGGCCCTCAGACCAAACTGGAGGTCTGAGCTCAGTTCGGTGCATCGCTGGTCCTCCTCCTGAGCTACATCGCGCTGCTGCGCTGCTCCTCTTTCCTTTTACAGCTACGCTGAACTTCTTTATGATTGTAGAATATAGTTGCTTTTTCAGCAGCGTTTTATTACCGGATCATATTAGCAGCTGCCTGGACCTCAGAGCCGATCCTCGGTAGGCGAGGCTCATCCCTTAGATTTATGCTGTGGTGAAATCAAAATGCATCTTCAGGTTCAGCAGAACTTTGCATCAGGAAGCAGGTGAGCTGTCTTAGTGAACGTAGGGCTGCTAATTTCCTCAGAAAACTCCATTTTCTGTATGAACTTGAAGTCTTGAATAGCGGCGGCTGTTTCCTTTGTCCTGCCTTGCATAGAGTCCCGACACCTTTATCACTTCATCCTGCTTGGAGGCACAGTTAGAAAGTCAAATGGACACAGAGACAGAATAAGGCAGTTGTTTTAGCGTCTGCATGCCTGGCTGCTCACACACAAACACACAGAGAAGCAGGCTGCAGACTCTCTGGCTCCAACATGGGAGATCCTTCTGATAGCTGCAAACATGGAAGACGCAGAGGAGAAAAGATTAAGATGCAGTCAAGGCTTGTGTGGATTTGCTTGTGACAGGCATGAAGATTAGGTTGCACTTACAAGAGGTCTGGTGTGTGAGCGGCTGCAAACAGCTGATCTGTTCGACTACAGTGAAATAATTCATGCAGCAGCAGGTTGGCGGGGGGGGGGCATGTTTACAGCTCTGAAGCACGGTGATGTTCAGACCCATTAAACCCATTCTGGTTGAGAACAGATGCAGACTGTCCTCCTGATCTCTGCTGATCACCCAGCTCTTCCTCACTGATCTACCTCAGGCTCAGCAGAGGAAACTACGCCTCACATCTCAGAGGTTGAGGGTTTAAATCCTCTTGGGTCGCTCCTTTCATTGAGTCAGCTGCTGACCTGAGCCTGTCTGGATTGAAAAAGGCTGCTGGTTTAAAGTTTAGCTTTAGCCAGTTGTGGTTTAGGCCTAGCAGCCAAACTGATGCGCTTTTATTGTGCTAAAAAACATCTCTGATGCTTCTGTGGGATTTATGGTCAAATTTGCAGGACTTCATTAAATTGCAAAGAACTAAGATAATCGGTATCTATAGTTGTGTGATCATAAAACATAAAATATGCTGATGAGGCTCTTTTTTTTCTTTAAAAGTAGCTTTGGAAAAACCTTGAAGTTTTATTAAGTTAAAAGTTCTTCTTTGTTCTGCTGTTATGTTCAAAGTATGAGGATAATTTTTCAGAGCTAATTTCATGCCACTCATGTAAAGACATGCATCACTGCCTAAATTCATCTCAACTTAAAAACTTGGAAAAATTCAGCTTTTACTTTTCAATTTAATTCTATTCAGTTTATTTCTATAGCTCCAATTCACATCATGTCATCTCAGGTCACTTTCCAGTTCACCAGATCATCCAGTCAGATTGATTCAAAGTTTTCTATCTAAGGGAAACCAGCTGATTGCATCGACTCATTGACTCTTCAGCAATCCCTCACACTAAGCATGCTTGTAGCGACAGTGGAGAGGAAAAACTCCCTTTTAACAGGAAGAAACCTCCAGCAGAACCAGGCTCAGTGTGAGCGGCCATCTGCTGAGGCCCACTGGGGTTCAAGGAGACAGAAGCAGACATAGAAAAAGAAGCATAGATACAAAAGGCAACCAGCTCCACAGGCGGCCCCGTCCAGGAAACACACAGCCAGGCAGACGAGCTCCGAGCCAGCTCCCATGTCAGAGGATGAAGAGAGCACATCCAGTTAGTCACAGTCAGAGAAACAGGACTACACTGGAAAACAGGCCAAGCTCCAACATCTAGAAACAAAGGTGTTGATGGCAGCAGCACAGCTGATATTTCTCTCCAGGATGGAGTCACAGCCAAACAGGAACAGACCAGATGAAGCTACTATGAGAAAAAGCAGAGAGAGCAGAACGTTAGAGATTGAACTAACAGATTCTGCAGAGTGGGAGAATAGAGATAGAATGAAGCAGAATGATGAAAAAGGGGTCCCTATGTCCTCCAGCAGTCTAAGCCTATAGCAGCAGAACTATAGAGATAGCTCAGGATAACCTGAGCCACTCTAACTAGAAGCTTTATCAAAAAGGAAAGTTAAAGAAACTTTTTAAACATTTATTGAATAATTATTGTGAAATAATCATTTTCAAACATGCTGTCGATATCTTGTATAAATGTTGTTCAGCCAGCTTTGGTCACCAAGGTCATAATTACTTCTTCCACATGACAAGGATGGATTTTAGAGATCAGGGTTCCTTAGTTCTGGTCCTGGAGGTCTGATGTCCTTTTAGCAGAGCAGGACCTCCAGGACTGGAAGAGAGGAACCTGGTTTAGAGATCAGTAATGTTTGCAGTCGGGGTCCTTGCTCATTCCACTGTTCCTCCTCTCTTCAACAAAACTGTTTGCATTTGGACCAAGATGGCCATGAATCGGTGCTGATCACATTCTGATCAACCTTTCTGTATTGATTTGACCTGTTTTAGTTTATCATTCTGCTTAAGGTTCAGAAATATTTCCGTTTTCTCGGAGAGGCGACCAGATGATGTATCTTTGATTTAGCAGTGATAACCGACTGAAACACTAAAAGCAGGTGTGTTTGCAGGACACTTTGATGGACGAGGCGTAACCCTGCTGGAGGTGTGTGGGAGCTGGCCCGAGAGCTTTGGGGTGCCAGGGCACCATACCGGATCGGCCGACATCAGCGATGAAGGCCTGAGGGAGAGACTAGCCGACGCCATGTCCGAGTCCCCTTCCAGGGACATTGTGGGCTCTGCTACAGGTCGGTAGAGTCTGAGGGATTGTGCTCCTAAATCCCTTCCATGTGTTCCTGTGTTTGCACCGTTTGCTGCTACGCTGCAGACACTAACTCCCGCTCCAGTTAGTCCGGTCCGTCCACCAGACTGATGTCCACTCCCTGGAAAACTAAATGAGGGAGCTACCTCCTCGCTTCAGTTTATTTATTTAGCACCAATTCACAACACGTCAGCTCAGGTCACTTTACAGAGACAATTCAACCTCCTCCTAGAACAGCCTATAGCAGCATAACTATAGAGATAGAATGAAGCAGAATGATGAAAAAGGGGTCCCTATGTCCTCCAGCAGTCTAAGCCTATAGCAGCAGAACTATAGAGATAGCTGAGGATAACCTGAGCCACTCTAACTAGAAGCTTTATCAAAAAGGAAAGTTTTAAGCCTAGCCTTAAAAGTAGACAGGGTGTCTGCCTCACGGACTAAAACTGGTAGTTGGTTCCACAGGAGAGGAGCCTGAGAACTAAAAGATCTGCCTCCCATTCTACTTTTAGAAATTCTAGGAACCACTAGTAAACCTGCAGATTGAGAGCGAAGTGCTCTGTTAGGAACATCAGGAACAATCAGATCTCTGATATAAGATGGAGCTTGGCCATTTAAGGCTTTATATGTGAGAAGGAGGATTTTAAATTCTATTCTTGATTTAACAGGAAGCCAATGAAGAGAAGCCAGGATAGGCGAGATATGATCTCTCTTTTTCATTTTCATCAGAACTCTGGCTGCAGCATTTTGGATCAGCTGAAGGCTTTTAACTACAGTTTGTGGACTTCCTGATAGTAAAGAATTACAATAGTCCAGCCTTGAAGTAACAAATGCATGGACTAGTTTCTCAGCATCACCGCTGGACAGGAGATTGCTCATTTTTGCAATATTCCTCAGATGAAAGAAGGAAATTCTAGAAACCTCTTTGATCTGGGATTTAAATGACAGGTCCTGATCAAAAATAACACCAAGATTTTTAACTTTATTATCTGAAATCAGTTTAATCCCATCCAAATGAAGCTTCTTTTTCAGAGACTCTGGTCCAAAGACTATAACTTCTGTTTTGTCTGCATTCAGAAGCAGAAAGTTAAGAGTCATCCAGGTTTTTATGTCTTCAAGACATGCCTGTAATCTATGTAATGGGTTAGCTTCATCTGGATTATAGACAGATATAGCTGGGTATCATCAGCATAACAGTGGAAATTAATCCCATGCTGTCTAATAATTCTACCAATTGGGAGCATGTATAAAGTAAAGAGAATTGGTCCTAGCACTGATCCCTGTGGTACTCCACAGGTAACCTTTGAGCGTGTTGAAGATCTATCATTAACATGAACAAACTGAATTCGATCAGATAGATCAGATTTAAACCAGCCTAGTGCTGTTCCTTTAATTCCAACAAAATATTCAAGTCTTTCTAAAAGAATATTCTGATTGGAGCTCTTTGCATATCGGCACACACCTCGGCTTAAATGAGAAGCTTCCTGCCTTTGTGTGTGTGTGTGTGTGTGTGTGTGTGTGTGTGTGTGTGTGTGTGTGTGTGTGTGTGTGTGTGTGTGTGTGTGTGTGTGTGTGTGTGTGTGTGTGTGTGTGTGTGTGTGTGTGTGAGCAGCAGACATGCCGTTGGCCCTGACGGTCCAAATGGTTAACTCATTTAGGAAGCGGCAGTGAACCCCCTCCGTCCCCCGTCTTAAGTGAACAAGAGCTCCTTTGATTTAAGTGTATGTATGTGCAGAAGATTGGGAGGGGGACACTTCCACAGAGGCAGCTACAGGAATGGGAAGGGTATTTTGTAGGGGAGTGGGGGGTCACAAGGCTCTAATGGATTTAGCATCGACTATCATCCCCCTCCAGCAGCCATCTTCAGCTGCTGCTTTCTCCCCCCACACCCCATCCTTCTCTCCATGTAAGGACTTAACCTTGTTTTACTTCTCTCTCTCTTTCTTCTCATCATTCTTTTTTCCGCCCCCTCTCATCCCTCTTTTTCTGTTTCTTTATTAGATTAGATGTTGAAGGCTGCTGCTTGCCACCAGTCAGTTGCTCCTTGTTCTCCTCCATCGCATCCCGACCCCTTGTGCCCCCCTCCAACCCTCTTTAATGCAACACAAAATTCATTACTGATCACATTAGATCAAAACTTGCGCTCAGCCACACACACAGGCTGTCTATCTCCACGATGAAGACATCATCCTCAGGGAATGTGATGGACTTGTTGGTTTGTCCATCCATTCATACAGGCACAGAGGCTTCAATCTCTGTTGGCTAATCTAATTGTGCAGCACTTGTGCCCTGGAACATATAGGAAATGTTCCCGTGTCTGCTGGAAGCAGCAGAGAGCCATAAATACATGACATAAATTGACTTGTCGTTATCCATCCTGGTTACAGAATGATGGATGGATCCACTCTGTGACAATGCTTGATAACTTGTTAACTGAAGAAATGACCTGGATCTGCATGCAGAACTTGGATCGGTTTTGGTTTATTACCCAGAGCCATACGCACATTTAAAGAGTGCAGATTTTCTCCCTGTGCTGAATATGTTTTTATTTTCCAAACGGTGAATTTGCAACACAAACGTCAGGATGTTAATGATGAAGCATTCAGATAGCAGCCATTTTTCTTTGCTCTTCAGGCAACAAGCTGCGTCTTCATGGGAATAGGTTTGATTAATGAGGGTCAAAGTCTCTTATTTTAGATTTTTTTATAACTTTAGATTTAAAGGCCTTTTATACCATCTGTTAACGTCTCATTTCCACAACTGACACAACTGACCTTTTCTGCTCATTTGATTCAGATGAATTCTTTGCAACAGACAGAAAGCAGAGTTTGTGTTGACAGGATCAGATCCATGCGCCTCCTCTGTCCTGTAGGGAGTTCCTCAAGGTTCCCGTCTTAGACTGAGCTCGTTTACGCTTCACTGATTTATTACGTGTCTGCGAGAATCTTACGGTTGAATTCGGTGCAGATGACAGAAACATTTTTACATATTTGAAAAAACCTTGTTTTTGTATCACCTATGACCCGAGCTAAGGGTGGACTTTAGAAATGTTTCTCCATCAATGAATATTAAATGATTGGTTTTCAGAATTCATTCAGTTTCTTTTTGACGGATGAAGAGTTTTGTGTTTGAGAATTTCAGGTCTCCATCTTTTCAATCTTAAGGGTAATTTTTGCAATATAAAGCAAAATGCTGTGGTGTTGAACAAAAAGTGTTTAAGGTGATCTAAAGAAACACCAACATACTGTTTAATGAACTGAATGGGATGTAGCAGCGTTTAGCTGACAGCAGCAGGCTGTCAGCTAAACAGAACATTATGGCGAACAGTTAGCTGCTGATGTCTTCAGTCAGAGGCTTCTCCAGGGCCGCTGGGCACAGACTGCTACAGAAGATCCTTCCTGCCTACAGTCATTAAAATATAACAAATGGTTGAAGAAAACTCCTCTGATTTGGAACAACATTGACTCTCCCTTTCGAGTATTCTGCTGTTGAGCTGAATTTAGATGAACCAGTTTGTCCCTGAAGGAGTTTTTTAGCTCCTCAACAGCTTCCACCATGAGATGGGGACGTGGTCTAATGGTCATAAGACCGACACTGAGTGGAAGGCCGTCCAGCATCCAGCCTCCTCTCAGCTGTAGATAGGCTGCTTCAACAAGCCACACCCTGAAAGATGGCCGAGGTCTCCAGGACCTAGAAGAGGTCTCCAGGTGCTAGAAAAGGTCTCCAAGAGGTCTCCAGGAGCTAGAAGAGGTCTCCAGGAGCTAGAAAAGGTCTCCAAGAGCTCTCCAGGAGCTAGGAGAGGTTTCCAGGTGCTAGAAGAGGTCTCCAGGAGCTAGAAGAGGTCTCCAAGAGCTAGGAGAGGTCTCCAGGAGCTAGGAGAGGTCTCCAGGAGCTAGGAGAGGTCTCCAAGAGCTAGGAGAGGTCTCCAGGAGCTAGGAGAGGTCTCCAAGAGCTAGGAGAGGTCTCCAAGAGCTAGGAGAGGTCTCCAAGAGCTAGGAGAGGTCTCCAGGAGCTAGGAGAGGTCTCCAGGAGCTAGAAGAGGTCTCCAAGAGCTAGGAGAGGTCTCCAAGAGCTAGGAGAGGTCTCCAAGAGCTAGGAGAGGTCTCCAGGAGCTAGGAGAGGTCTCCAGGAGCTAGAAGAGGTCTCCAAGAGCTAGGAGAGGTCTCCAAGAGCTAGGAGAGGTCTCCAGGAGCTAGGAGAGGTCTCCAAGAGCTAGAAGAGGTCTCCAGGAGCTAGAAGAGGTCTCCAAGAGCTAGGAGAGGTCTCCAAGAGCTAGGAGAGGTCTCCAGGAGCTAGGAGAGGTCTCCAAGAGCTAGAAGAGGTCTCCAGGAGCTAGAAGAGGTCTCCAGGTGGCTCAGAGCTTCCTGCAGGGATTCTTCATACCCAGCCCAGGGATTCAGATGCAGATCATCCTGTTGGCACCTGGCTGAGTAAAAACGGGTTCTAATGAATATTGTTTTATAATCCAGACTTTCACTGTCGTACATTTATAATTTTTTACAAAGGGAATATTTCTTGAAAGGCATCTGCATCCCCTGTAAAATAAATCAGGTAATTAGGGTTAAAAATCTGGGTTTTCCCATCAAATCATATGAATTGTGTCTTTTTTCTCCTTTAAGGTTTATAATAAAACAGACAGATAACAGATCTAACCTTCAGACTAGCGTTTATGTCCATCCGTCTCTTAAAGGGTAAAGAAAAATGGGAAAATGCTGTAAAACAGAGTTTAAAAAAACAAACACTGAAAAATTTTTTTTGCAGCTTTAACAGTCGGCTGGTTTTTAGCACAGGAGATGAACTGATGTCACCCTGAGCTACGGAAGCCTGGAAGGAGGAAAAACATTCCAACAAAATAAAATCAGAATAAGAACAAAATTGATTTATTGTCCAGATAAATTTTATGATGAAAAATAAAGAATAGAAATAGAATAGAAAACATCAAACTTCCTCAATGTTTTCTGGTCTCCAGCCAGAAACATGGAGCAAAGG